TCATCATCAGCATCATCCTCAACGACGTCATCGTCGAAAATTATGACGTCATCATCAACGACAACATCATCCACAAAGCAACAACAACAACAGCATAAAAATATTAGTCATAATCTTTGTAATTATCCTTATAATCATCGGAACCATAATAATAATAATAATAATAATAATAATAATCATGTTAAAAGATGGTTGGGTGAATTGAACTTGGAGGGCTATTTTGATACTTTTCAAATACACCAGTGTACCAATTTGGAACATCTTGTTAACCTCTGGGAACTTCAGCTAACTACTGTATGTGTGTGTTTATGTGTGTGTTTGTGTGCGTGTGTGTTTGTGTGCGATGTATGTAAGTATTGAACTGAATGACATCACAACGGATTAGTAGTAGTTTGATTAATTTCTCTTTCATCATTCACTCATACATTCGTTCATTCATTCATTCAATAACCGATGCATCCATTCATTTATCGATTGATTCATTCATTCATCCATTTATTCATCTATTCATTCATTCATTCATTCATTTCCTCGTTCAAGGTGTTCCACATAACCAGACTTGGCTATGTAAACAGAATCATGTACTATATAAACCTATTGAGAAATAACCCGCAATTGTTGGTTAGTTTTGCTGCTGATGAGGCTGCTGCTGTTGTTGCTGCTTCAGCTGCTGCTACTAATGGTGGTGGTGGTGGTGGTGTCGATGGTGATGATGATGGTGGTGTAAGTAATGGTGTTGATGATGATTCAGTGTGTGAATGTTTTTTTTTAGTGTTCATTTATTCATTCTCTGAACTTTCCATCCATTGATTGATTCATGCGTTTGTTCTTCAATTTTTCTCATTCATTTATTTGCTTGCTCGTTCATTCATTCATTCATTCCATTCATTCATTCATTCATTCATTCATTCATTCATTCATTCATTTTAGAATGCTTACAACGACAAGTACAACGTGAACGGCTCCAACAACGAAATCATTTTCAGCAATTTCAATTCAACCAACAGCAACAACAACAACATCAACAACAACAACAATATCAATATCATTAATATCAATAACAAAGTCGTAGTATCTGCAAATGTATCTTTTCAAAAACAACATCAACAACAACATCAACAACAACATCAACAACAACAACAACAAAATCAACAACAACAACAGCCAATATTAAGTGAAGATGAGTTAAACAAACTAAAAGAGCTATTAATAAATGTTTGTTTTCATTTTTTTGGAATCTTTTCTTAATTGTAATCTTTGGTTTATTTGGTATCCTTGTGATCTTTTTTTTTATTTGTAATCGTTGTTTGTTTTTTTTTGTTCTTTGCAGTTACATTTCTATGTTATTGTTGTTGTCATTATTAATGTGACGTAATCACAACATCCACTACTCACCCACCCACTCAGTTTGATGTCCCCGATGATGACGTCATCTTACTATCATTACGATCATCGTCATCATCATTAACTTCTTCTACAACCACCACTACTACTGCTGCTGCTGCTGCTGCTACTACTACTACTACTGCCGCTGTTGCAACAATTAATTTTACAGCTGGTGGTAAAAATAATTCGTCATCATCAACGCCAAAAAGATCGACTGCTATGGAATGTAATGCTATTAAAACAACAACAACAGCAACATCAGCAACACAAACAACAACAACAACATCGTCATCGTCGTCGTCGTCACCATCATCTTCTTCATCATCAACATTATCATCCTTGAAACGACGTAACGTTTCTACTTCTGAGACAACGACGGCAACAAAAACACCTCAAACAACATTAACCACAACAACATCAACAACAACAACGACATCAACAACAGCAGCAGTTGATAATATGGAAACATTAACTTTTACATCTACAGTAAGATATTTTTATAATTATACTACTACTTCTACTACTAATACTACTACTACTACTACTACTACTACAACTACTACCAATTTGACTTCTACTACTACTGCTACTACTACTACTACTACTACTACTACTACTACTACTACTACTACTACTACTACTACTACTACTACTACTACTACTAATACTATTACAACACTGACGACGACGATGATGATAATAGCGATAATGAATTTATATTTTCAGTATTTAGGATCAGTGAAGTTATTGACAATTGACGACAAAGAAGTTGCCAGGAGATGCATTACCCAGATAAGAGTAATGCTGATGATGATGACGACGATTGTGATGATGATGATGATGATGATGATGATGGTAATGATGATGATTACGTTGGTTATGATAACGATGATGACGACGAAGATGATGTTGATGTGGTTTTCTTATTGTTTCACACCTTTATTGCGGTACAGAGATTTAGATGGTGATAATATTATTATCACCATTATTATATTATATTGTGTTGTATTATATTATATTATATTATTATATTATTATTATTATATTATTACGAGATGAGTGACGTCTTGATGACGACGATGAGAAAAGATGTTGACCTAGTCATCTCATCTGAGCACGTTTCATTCAACCACCACCGCAATATAACGGTTAGTCGTTCATTCATTCATTTGTTTATTTGTTCGTTCGTTCATTCATTCATTTGTTTATTTGTTCGTTCGTTCATTCATTCATTTGTTTATTTGTTCGTTCGTTCATTCAATCATTCATTCATTCCTTCCTTCTTTCATTCCTTCTTTCATTCATTCATTTATTTCTAGGTAGCCGCGATATCAGTCACATGAACTGCGTTTGTCAGTCATTCATTTAACCAATCATTACAATCATTTTAGTCGTCGCAATCACCACCATCATTGCCACCATCATCATCATCACCACCACCATCATCACCATCATAGCCATCATCATCGTCATCATCGTCATCAGGAGTTGCTAGGCAGCCACGACATCAGCCACATATACTGCGTGTGCCAGGACAGCGGCGACTTGCAGTACTTCAGCTACGTCACGTACGACAACATTGAGGGCAACCATTTCTGCCACGTTTTCGATGCGCAGACGACGGTTCGAATGTCGTCATTATGATCATGATTGTTATTATCAATCAATCTTCGTTGTTTTTTTTTGTGATGGCATAGGAATAATAATGATTGTTATTATGATAATATCATTGTTATCATTATGATTGCATGTGGTGTTGAGGTAATGATGATGACGTAGAGTGAATTACTACTCTGTAGTGACGACAATAACGCTCAAACCAACAGGAGAACTCGACAGAAATCGTCCTAACCCTCGGGAAAGTTTTCGAGAGAGCGTTCAACAGAACAAGAAAAAGTTCTAGACTGGAGGCCAATGATAAGCAGCTGCTGATGCTACAGCAGCTGCGACAGCAGCTGCATCAACATCAACAACAGCAGCTGCAGCTACCACATCAAAAGCAGCCGCCACAACGACTACTTCATCAACCACAAATACACCAGCAACAACATCAGATAGTTGTAGAACAACCACACCCTCAACGGCAGCATTCTGCTACTAGCGATTTAACCAATCAAAGAACTCTTATAGTTTAGTGCGATCAAAGAAAAACTTAATAAGAATACTAATAATAATAATAATTATTATTACTATTATTATTATTATTATTTAAGATTGTTGTAGTTTCGGTTTTTAATATCTTCTTACGTTTTTTCAACCGTTTATATCGAACCTTTTACAATTTCTGCATCATCAGTGTTCTTGTTATAGTTAGATAAATCTAGTCTTGTTGTTTAGAAACACGCACACACGAATACACAGACAAACAAACACACACATCCTCTCTTTTGTTATTTATATATTTAAATACATACATTTACTACAGAGAGAGAGAGAGAGAGAGAGAGAGAGAGAGAGAGAGAGAGAGAGGAGAGAGAGAGAGAGAGAGAGAGAGAGATCGTGGAAATGTTAATACTCTACACTAAAATCATTTTGGGCATGAAATATTTAAACCTTTTATTATACATATGGCTAAATAATTATAATTTATATATATAATATTATATATATATATATACATATGGCTAAATAATTATAATTTATATATATAATATTATATATATATATATATATATATATATATAATTTATTCTGTAACAGCTTTAATAACAGTGATAATGTTGTTCTTTGTCGCCACTTTTAATAATCACCTCATTATCGTCGTCATGTCGTCATCATAGCTACCATGTATTAATGTAGTTATATGTATATTTAAATCGATTTTATATGCAAATTTTATGCTAATTGCATGCAAATTTTATGGTAATTGAAGGCAAATTATGTGTCAATGTGCTATGTGTTGGTTAATTGTGATTATTGTGAGCCAGGATCTTATCAGTGTGTATTGAATGTTTGCAGCCGGTCAGTATTTGTGCTATGTATGTTTTGTGTTGTTCTTATTAATGTTATTATGGTCGTCGTCTTAAATTTCTTGATGTCATTATCATTGCTGTTGTCCTTCTTAATGTTGTGGTTAATGTTTTTGATCTGCACACACACAAACACACACACATACATACATACACACACACACACACACAACACACACTCATAAAAGAGGAAGACGATTTTCATATATAAAAAAAAGCTTATTTTCGATATATTAATTTTTGTTATTAATTTGTTCATTTCTTGTTCGTTCGTTCAGTGATTTGTAATTATTAAATTTTGATTGGATCACATTGAATATCGTTAAGAACAGCTGGTACCTTTATTCTCACTGCTATTTATATTCTTATTTTCATTGTTTTAAATTCAAATTTTTATTTTTCTGCTTCTTTCTGACCAACGAATTTGGATCTTTGTAAATTAGTAATTAATTAATTAGTAATTAATTAATTAGTAATAACTCATTCAAAAGCCATCCATACTTTCTACATTTGTATATGCTAAATTTAAGCGAAAATTTCAATCAGCTTATTTTCTCATTCATTCATTCGCTCGCTTAACCAATCGATCAATTAATCAGACTACCTTCTCTCATGTACCTTCTATATTTATATATATATAAATCTATAAAGATAGAGAGAGGGAGGGAGAGAGAGAGAGGGGGAGAGAGCGAACTTGTCAGAGACGCATCGAACATTCGATCAAAATTTGACATCAGGTTCCGACCATTTATTTGGTCATCCACAAGTGAAAAACATGTGAATTGGAAGAACAAACGATGGAATATCATCTCGACAAGGAAATCTCAGGTAGGCCTGAGTAGCTTATTGTTTTTACTCAGTAGCTTGTTTTTCGTTCTAAAAAATTGAAAATTTCTCAAAATTTAGGGTTTTTTGGTACATCTCTACAACTTCAACATGTATACCTGAAAGAGTGAAAAAGAAACAACTGAATAAAACAATTGAGAAAGGAAGAATTTACTCACGTATCTTAACGGACTTTTTAGAATTTTTCTTATTATTTTATTGTTTTTGTTATTATATTTATTTTAAAAAATGTTTCTTTAAATATTTCTCTGCACTGTTATTTGATACGGCTAAATGTTTTTTTGTTGGATTTTGTTGTTTTTGTAATTTTTTTATATTTTTCAAAATAAAAATGTTTTTCTTTATAAAAACTAGTTAATTCTTCCAAATGTATCGAAAAATATAAATGAGTGAGAGCAAAAAAGCGACTATGGCTTAAAAAAATTAACAGTAAGTAACGTTAACGAGACGATACTTCGCTTCAAATGTTCAAGTCTTCTCAAAGCTTCAGAAACGATACAAATTGCAATCAAGGTTCGCTCACGTGAATACGTATTTACACACATACACAGTTATACAAAAAGCAAGTCTTTACAATGCAAACGTATTGAAACAAAGCTGACTAATTATATAATAGGCAAAATGTATGTAATTAATTACACAGGTACGTATTAAATTACATTATTTACATTAAATAGTTATCAAAACAAATATTAAACAAACAATTATGAAATATAAACATAAAAATGTTAATGTTAACGTCTTACTTGAATTATAGTCTTATAATTATATGAGTTTAGAATAAAAATCTTGAAGGCACAACTGTAATTGGATGATCGCTGGTCTGTCCTCTGCTGATTGGCTCCAACAGCATGCCATCATGGCGAATCTGGTTTTGAATTTCAATTTGGTAGAATGAGATTGGTTGGATTTGAGTTTGAATGAATTTGATTAGTTAATTGTTAATGGTCGGATATGAGTTTGGTCAAATCTGACTGGATGAATATTAAGTAGACTTCAATTGTTCTATCAATCAACCATTTGTTTATATAGATAGGCCATTCATTCTTTCATTCATACGTTCATCAAACCATCCACTAATTTCACTAACAATTCATCGGGGCAGTCGTCAGGTTGGCTCAATCTGTAGCCATCTTGAAGATGGTCGATGATCTTTTCAGGAGCTATCTTATCGTACGGAAGTGTACATAGAGTCATCAGCTCCCATAGCAGCACACCAAATGCCCACTTGAAAGATCGATCGATCGATTGATTGATAGATCAATTGATCGATCGAATGATTGATAGATCAATTGATTGATCGATTGATTGATTGATCAATTGATGATTTGTTTGAATGGTTGGTTGAGGAATTGAACTTACTGTATACATGCAAAATGAATTGAAACAAAGAGAACTCGTTCGGATTTGTGACTAAAGTCTATCCTAACCTTCTATACAATTTATTGCATTCAACTTAATTGATATTGTTAGTTGAAAAGACAGATGTCGTTGAACATAATAAGAAAGCTGCTGTTTAAAAATTCATGAAGTAAGTCATCGGTCTCAAAATAACATTCAACAACAACAATGTACCGTATCACTTGAAGCAGAATAGACGCCATTGGACAATGCTTCAAGGGCGAGCCATCTGATTGGCCGAGGATCATTTGAATCTGACCAATCATAATCATCAGGAAACATATCAGCTGTTAGAGCAGAGTCAGTCACCTTGACATGCAGTTGGTTGTTTACTCTGAAAAAAAAGCATAAAAAATTAAAAGAATTAATTAAAATTCATTAATAATAAAATTAAATTAAAAAAAATACCATAATAAAATAGATAAATAAGTATAAAATAATTTTCTAACACGCAATTTCTAGTTCCTAGATCTTTGTGTATGAGATGTTTCTTGTGCATGTAGTGTACACCATGAGCTATTTGTATGCCCATGTATACGAGTTGCTGCAAGTTGATTGGCTGGTGGGAGGAGTTAAAAGTCAATCAAATAATCATTCAATCAATCAATTCATCAATTAACCAACCAACCGACCATTTGTTCAATTAGTAAATCGTGTAAACCACAAATTATTCAACAGAGAAACAATTAAAAAACACACTTGCTGTTGTTTGTGCTGCATAATATTTTTATTATTTATATTATTATTATTATTATTATTATTATTATTATTACTAATCAACATATAATCGGCTGGCGAACAACACGTGATAAGGAACCTCTTCAAATTCACACCAAATAAGCTGTCAACGTTAATACTACAGTTAATACTACCGCCATTATTACTACCGTTATTATTATTTCTATTATTACTATTATTATAGTTATTATTATTATTATATTTAATACTGCTGCAACTATTTTTGCTGTGCTGCCTGCTATGGTTGTGGTCCAGACTGCTGTCAGCTGCAAAATAATAATAAAGATGATTATCATTATCGTTAACTATTATTATTGATCATTATTATTATTATTAATTATTATTAATTATTATTATTATTATAATTACAAGCGTAAATTAGCATAGGCCTAGTATCTTTCTGAATGCAGGCAAACAACAATACGGCCAAATTATCGGATTTCAAATCTTTCATTAGGCAGCCTGACTTTAAGAAGTTGTAGGTTTGCTCTTCTGTAGCATCACCTGAAGGACGTGTGTTTAAGTGGTGATTAACTGGTTGATGGGTTGGTTGATTGACTGATTGATTGATCGGTTGGTTGACTGACTGATTGATTGGTTGGTTGGTCAGTCGGTCAATCAAATGATCAGTCACCTTCCAATCAGACAATCTATCAAATATCTCCCATTCAATTATCTTTCGTCTCTTAAATCTATCAACCAATCAATTATTTCCTCAATCAACCAATCTCTCAGATCAGTCATTCCAAAAATAAACCAACCAACTAACCAGCCAACAAATGAATCAACTCTCTCTTTAATCAACCAAGCAATTGATTATTTCCAAACAACAACCAATCAACTACTCAGTCAACTAATAAACCATTCTCAACCGACCGACCGACCAACCGACCAACCAGTTAAGGTCTTGATGACAACTTTCCTATCAACTTGTTTTTTTTCAACGATCTCTCGACTGCCAATCAGTCTGCCACTAAATATTCTTCCGTAGGATCCTAATAGGAATAATAATAAAAATAAAAACAACATTAATAACAATAAAAATAAAACTATTAGTGATGTACTGACCTTCCATAATTAAATCTTCTATGGCAACACTGCTAGCATCAATCTCCAACTCTTGGAGACTCATCTTAATGTCCGCTGACCTCAGGTAGGAGTAAGATAGATCTTGACGATGATCTTGTTGTTGTTGTTGATGTCGTTGTTGAGTCTGTGACTTGTGATGCTGATGTTTTTCATACTGTTGTTGTTGTTGTTGCGATTGTTGTTGTTGTTGTTGACGCAGTTGCTGATCAGAATGTGATGAACTCCTCAACACCATCATCTCTTCATCTATTGGCGTCCTTGCCATTGGAAACAGCTTGCAATTCTCTGAAATGAATGGATGAGCGAACGAATGAATGAAGGAATAAATGAATGAATGAATAAACAAAAGAATGAATGAACGAAAAAACGAATGAACAAGATTGTTTCCATGCGCGTAAGCAACTAATTTTAAACAATCAAGTTAGGATGAAGCAAAAACTAACCAAAAACAAGTCAATTAATGTTAAAAAATCAATCAATCCAATTGCCGGTTAAAATAGTACAACAATAATAATAAGCATAATAATAATAACAACAACAATAACAGGTAAATCAATAATAGCAACAACAAACCACCGAAAGTATCGTAAATACTCTTCCTCGAAGTCGACAACTGTCCTGTGGCATTCAAATTGCTGGAAAATGAATCGTAAAACAATAATTATTACCGCTATCACCACCCATTATTGTTATTATTGCAGATTATTATTATTATTATTAAAGATTGGCGTTGGTTCAGCAATTGCCAACGAACGCCAATCTGGTCAGATGGGGAAAGTTAAAAGATTCTCTATGTCCTCTATGCGGCGCTAAGCAAACTAACAAACATGTTGAGTCCAACTGCGGATCGATTGCTACACTAGCAAGATATAATATATATATATATATTATATTATTTTATTATACACACATATATATATATATATATATATATATATATATATATGTATATGTATAATAAAATTCTATCTGAGATCGTTAATAGGTTAAAGACATGTTGCCAGGATGATTGCCTGATATTCGCAGATATCGAGTCAGAGGGGGTTCAACCACTATCACGACTGTTCAACTCCAACCGCGAAATTGAAATTATTATGGAGTTAACTGTGTGCCATGAGACAAATCTGCTAAAATCAAGAAACTATCGAAATAGGAAAATAGTTTGAATTCATGTTTGAACGCTTTTCTAAAAAAATTTGAAATAACTCCGATTGGCATTTTCAATATTTTGAATTGGACGTTAATTAAAATTCATGGCCTAATTCATTTATTAACAAATTAATATGTAGACCCTGTAATTAAATCGACCTAGGCCATTTATTGCGATAGGAATGCTTCATAGCCAATTTGAAGACATTACCGTTTTGCACTTGTCCTAGACAATGAGCATTGTGCTTTTTATTGAACATTATCACATTTTTAATTATTTTTTTAATTTTAACGACTTGGGTTGAAACAAAAAAGTTTCCATTATTCATATCATCACAATTACAACCGATTTTTTTCAAAAATTCTTCTCCTTTTGTTCATATAACATGCACTGATAAGGAGGGAGGAGATGACTATGAGACAGCATATGGACCCAACAGCAATGTAAAAGTATTGGCTAGATGTTTCTGTATGTGTGTGTGTGTGTGTGTTTGGTTGTGTGTGTGTGTGTGTGTTTGTGGTGTGTGTAAGTGTGTTTGTTTGTGTGTAGATATGTGTGCGTGCGTGTGTGTGTGTGATTGTGTGTGTACATATGCATTTGTGTGGTGTGTTTGTTGTTGATATAACCGTCTATATTTGTCCTTGTTTTTAACAACCATAAATTAAATCATTTAATAACAGCTCAGCAATTCAATCAATTAATTAATTAAACAATCAATCAATCAAAAAATTCATCAACTAACCAACCAACCGATCAATAAACCAAGCAACAATAACAAACCAAACAAACCGCTAACCAGTGTAATAGGTAAAGTTATGAGGATTGAGATGATGGTAATGGTAATAAACTGAGTTATCATTGTTGTTGCTGTATGTGACATCTGTAGAAAATAAAAAATTATAATTATTAATAATTTTCAACAATTCCACTTGCTGTAATGACAAAAGCAATCACCACTCTTGCAGTTTTTCCTCCTTTTAACATTATATAAATATGTATTATTATTATTATTATTGTTGTTGTTGTTATTATTATTGTTATTATTATAATTATTGTTATTGTTATTTGGCTTGTTGCTGTGATGATGACGACGATGATGAGTGACTTGTATGTACATCGCCACATCTACCACACCATCAACACGTGGCTGCTGATGCTGGGCATGATGCTGTGCTGACAAGCACTGAACTGTCACCCTGAATACTTTGGTTGTGGAAACAAGTTTAAGTAATGATAACGATGATGGCGATGATGATTATGATGATGGTGATAGTGGCGGTGATGATAATGATGATGAGGATGATGATAGTGATGGTGATGATAATGATGATAGTGGTGGTGATGATAATGATGATGATGATTGTGATAGTGGTGGTGATGATAATGATGATGATAGTTATTATTATTATTACAGAAATATATATATACAGCGCTTTTTAATCGTTGGAACTCAAAAGATGGTGATGGTGATAGTGGCGGTGATGATAATGATGATGGTGATGACACCTGAATCAATTGTAGGCACTTCTCCTTCTCCTTTTACACTCATGGTCGGGTGGCTGATGATGTTATCATTTGACAGCTTGAACCAAATTTTATACGTCAACTAAAATTTGTTGTAAAATTATTATAGTAAGAAGTAATTATTATTATATGATTTAGTTATAATTACTTATAATTATATATATATAAATACCTTGGAGTCATCTTGGGAGTGTGTTGATTGGTGCCAGTTAAAATAAATATCATTAATGTTGTTCGGTATGACAAGAACCGTGTGTGAATTTATCTTTGGAACGCCATTTTCAACGTAGTGCATGTCCCCGATTAAATCTAATTTCATTTAAAATATATTTTTAAATATTATTAAATGATTTATTATTTTAAAAGTTGTAAATTTTGAATTTGATTAGTGCTGGTTGATTGGTTTTGATTACACGGTAGTTACTTGTTAATTAGGATAAAACTTCTAAATTTCATTAAAGATTAACATTAAATCGGCCATTAGATCAAATTAGATTAGGCTGCCTAACAAATTTTATATAGTTTATATTTTATTTTTTTGGAGTATGTTGTGCTGGTAGAAGAATAATTTACTTTAGTTTTCTTAGCCAGAAACTTACTTAGAACTCTGAAATTTTCAGATTTGTTGACGTACAAATTAAAGGAACATTTAACAAAAAAGATTTTAAAACATAAAATGAATAAACAATAAATTTTCGCCATTTTTTGGAAATTTGATCAAACACTTAACTAATCCTTGATAACATATGTTTAAAAGTTAATTTTGCTTGAATGAGAGATGGAGAAGTAGTCAGAGAAGGTGGAAGAGAGTTTCAGAGCACATAACTAGACATATGACATGCTTAGATTGGCTTACGAAATTGCGTGAATTTTAACGAGCAAGCTATATGAAATATTTACTTGACTTATTATGCTTAAAACATTTTAGTAATTCTATTTAATTTTATTAAATCAAACTATGTATTATTAAATTATTGTTGTTAATTTGAATATAAAAATTGCTTTTGCCAATCCGGTGGCTTACTGAAGCCGAAGGTTGGCTTACTAGGATCGGACTATAGTCACCCTTTTTTGCACTATTCGATCATGTTAAAATGTTGTTTGCTTATGAAATTAACGGCCTAAATAGATCAAAATTATTATTTGAACAACTATCTTCATTATATTCAACATTCTGCTGGTGCTCATAGAAAATGGTTGCTGAAATCATACGTTGGCTTACTGCAGTGGCTTACTGGGTCTCATATAAATGCGTGATAGCGGTTTTCTGTACATATAATGCTTTAAATAAATCAATATATTCATATCACAATTATTTTGTCAATATAAATAAAGAAATTGCTTTTGTCTGGTGAAATACAGTGGCTTAATCGGATTTTTTTTTCATATAAACAATACTATGAGATCAATCAATCAATCAGTCAATCAGTAGTCAATCAATCAGTCAATCAATCAATAGTGCTTTAAAACCGTAGGTTGGGTTTCTTGATTGTATATGTGTGATTAGTTGGTTGAATGAATAGTTAGCTGGTTGATTGGTTGATTGATTGATTGATTGATTGTACGTTTCTAACATGGAGTACCTACCTCAAAAATATCATCTATAAAGTTTGTGCCTTGTTATCGGTTTGTTTGTATGGTATGTGTGTTGGTTTGTTTCAGAGAAAAGGGCCAGAAAAATGCAAATAGAGATTTAAGCAAAAGATTGCTTAACACGAGTCAAAAAGAAGTCTTTACTTTAAGTTATAACCATTATATATGGTATATTGCACTGTTATATTAGACCTTCTAATTGCTGTATTGTTTTAGACATAATAGATCAAGCAAATATTTTATATAACTTGTTTGTTAAAACTCATGCATCTTTATAAGTAAGCCAATAATCAAGAAAGTCAGATAGTCCGACTCAAATTAAAGCCATCCATCCATTCCTGAAAAGTTCGTATTTGGAACTTTAAATTTTAAAAGTTGATTTTAATCGTAAAAAATGACATCAAAATCAAAAAACGAAACCGCTTCGAAATTTGATCAAAATTAACTTTTCAAATATTTTTTACTAATCAGTAAATCATCTTTTTGGAGACTTCTTCTGGAAACTAATCATCCAAAGTCCCATGGACCGATTGAAAATTTTGTTTGACAGTTGTTCATCTGGGGACTTGATGTCAGTGAAAGATCTGCTGGACTCCCAGATAGTGGATGTGAATAAGGCCAATGCTAACAACGTAACTGCGTTGCAGGTCTTCCACTAATCACTATTCAATATTTTATGATTAGTTTAGATTTTACAGTAAAATCTTTAAAATTAATTTGAAATAAAAAAGTGAAATTCTTACTTATAGTCACTATAGCGAATAGTCATCATATGTCCTTGTGAACAATAATGTTAATTAATAATGTTTTTAATTTAGCAATTTAATTAATGTCATGTCAGTGGTCCATGTTAGTTGGCAGTGTGTGTTTCTATTTATTTAAAATTTAATCATAATCATCAGTTTAATTAATAATGATGATTAATTTGATTGTGCAGTATAGCTAATGTGCCATTCTCATATGTACCTAATTTTCATACAAATTGGTAATTTTGTTTAGTAATATATAAATAAACATTGTTAAATATTAACAACTGATCAATTAAGGTGGCGTCAGCAAATGGTTATGACTCAATAGTGAAGTACTTGATAATGAAGGGAGCTGCCCTGGACAAGCACAACTCCAAGAAGTGGACCCCTCTGTTGCAGGCTTGCAGGCACGGACACTCCAACGTTGTTAGGACATTGCTTCAAAATCAAGCTAATGTTAATGCTAAGACTAGGTCAGTTTGCAAAGTATAGTTTGTATAACTTTGTTTTGCCTTTTGTTTATGGTCTTTTGTTTTTTATTTGATAGTGTTGTTGCTGTTGTTGTCAAAATTTAATTATTATTTATCATATTTTGTTATTTAATATTATTATTGCAGATATTATGATAGCTGAAATTACTAAACTGAACTCTTCAAAAGATATAATTCTTTTTCTATCAACACAGATTGGGAGTTTCAGCAATGTTACTGGCCAGCAAGAAGGGGAATGTTGAGACGTGCAAATTATTAAAAAACTCAGGGATTGACCTAGCCTCGTCAATGAATAGCGGTCCTTACGACCCCGACTGTGACATCACGCCTTTCATGGCTGCCTCATTCTACGGTCATGAGGAATTAGTTAAATTCTTCCTCAAAATAGGTGAGGACGTCAATCAAAGATCAGTTTCTTTGGGCATTTCTAGTCTTATGCTAGCAGCATTAAGTGGACATGAGGTGATTTTTATTAATTTTTTCTGTGATTTTTTTAAACTTTTTTGTAGTCATGTTTTTTGCTTGATGATGTAGACTTATTTGGATGAATAAATAGTTCAGTGATATCATTGAATAAAATGTTAATTTTTTTATTCCTGCTAATTTATCCATGATTTCCACTTTAGAGCATAGTTAGGCTGTTGGTAGAGAACGGTGCCAACCCGAACCTCACAGACATCAATGGCAGATCTGCCCTCGAGTTTGCCAAACTTCGAGATGACAAAAAACTTCAAGTCTATCTCAGCAGGATCACCGACGCCTGTTCAAATGCAGGTGCACTCTGGCTTTCTTATCGTCATCATTGCCATTATTGCCATTTCTATTCTTATTCTTTTTATGATAATAATAAATTTTGTTATAATAATTATTTGTCGTATTTCATTATTCCCAGTGGTCGAAGATGCCAAGTTTGATATATTAGATGCAATTAAAAAAGGTTACGTTATTGTTAACGGTTTGTTATTATTATTATTATTATTATTATTATTATTATAAAATTCATCTAGTTATATTCTCCCAATACCATTTTTGCTCTACCTCTTGAAGTAATTAAAACCTACCTAAAATAAATTTAATAGGCAACTTGCATAGAGTCCGAGAGATTCTCGATCAGGACATAAACCAGCGGGACGCCAGCCAGTCTGAAGATGGCGCCACTGCACTGATGTTCGCCTCCATACTGGGGAGGTTGGATATCGTTCAGGAGTTAGTGGAGAGGGGCTGCGATGTTAACAAGCAGGACCACCTCAGCGGCTGGACTGCCCTCATGCAGGCCGTGTATCATGGGTTTGTAATAATTTCATTCTGTTATGATTCATAATTACGAATTGTTGTCTTATTTTTATTCATATAATTTAAAATTTTATTATTTTTTTTTTGTTATTTTAAATCTAAACTTTAGGAAAAAGTCCATAGCCAAGTATTTGATCAACTCAGGGGCAGATGTGAACATGAAAGCCAAGTACAACTTCACAGCTCTTGATATGGTCATGCTATTGGGTTAGTAAGGCGGATTACAATCGTGCCTTGGCTTCTGTTGTTTTTCTCATTGCAATTATATTTCGTTTCTAAATCTATTGTAGGTAGGATTGTTTAATAACGATCCAAATTGAAAGATACTTAATAAAATATCTACATACAAACACACACAAGCACACATAGGCACACAAACACACTCACACACACACAAACGTTAGACAACATAGATACAGAGCTGTATAGATTGCTTGCATCTGCTACGATTAGCGTCATATCCTCGCCAGCATCTTTAGAGGTGCCAAATGACGGTTCCAACTTAAACCTTCTTAATTCGTCATCATCTTCCAGTAGAAGCACATCGTTCTCAAGTCATTTCACCATAAATAGGTGGTGCTGCTGATGATGATGATGGTGTTGATAATGATTACCATTAATATATATATAATGATGACGATTTTAACCATCGAGAATAATATTCGTTAATACTCAACAAAATTTTTCAATTTTGAAGTAGCACCAGTTCAAAGTCCCATCTCAAGGTTTGTAACGCTGAAACTCCTTCTTTACAACTGTTTGCATGGTTAACATCTGTTTACGACCTTTCAGACAACAGTTTACGAATCTTTACATTTTTCTTTACGACATTTACAACCGTTTACATCTCCTTTACTTTATTTAGCGTAATTTTATTCACCATTTCAATCGCTAACTAGCTGGAACAAATGTGAATGAATGAACCTATCATATTTATTATTAATAATTACTATTATCGTTACTATTATTTTATTATTATATATTATTTTTTTAAATATTTTCCGAATAGTTTTTGAAAAATCATTCAATCAGTTCGATTATCTTTCAAACAGTTTTGGTGGAGCAAAATGTCAGACAGGTTTAGGCACCTAAAATTAGGAACGACGCTGAATAATAATAATAATAATAATAATAATAATAATAATAGTAATAATAATAATAATAATAATGATGAAATTCCTATAAGTATCAATGTCCTAGAAAGCAGCGCCGACTCCACAAATACGTCAAAAAACAATAATAACATAAATAATAATAATTGCAATAATAATAATAATATAATTAGTAATTATGATAACAGTAATAGTTTTTTGACCAACAAAAGCTATAAGACCATATCGACCAGTTTTACGTCCCTTAAAAACGCGTTCGTCTCTAATAGTAGGAGGAATAAGTTTGGAAAAACGAAAAACATCAACAGCGTCATCAACTACGTCACCAATAATAATAATAATAACGTCATCAATAATTATACCTTGAGACGTTTTTCGATGGTTAGAGATGGTAATATCTCAACTAAGAATAAGTCTTTAACTTTGCCTGTTGGTTTCATTTTTCGCAGTTGTTTGTTTGTTTGTTTATGTCTATTTATATAGAATATTTGTATGTCTGTGTGTTTGTGTACGCTTTGTTTGTGTCTCTATATGTTTATATCGCGTATTAGCCTAAAGAAAATAATTTTTTCCAGGCCGTAGAGTTGAAAGGCATCAAAAAGCAGTCATCCATGCCAACGACGTCACAGAGTAATATAAATAATAATAATATAATTAATAATATAAATAATAATAATATGATTAATAATATAAATAATAATTGTATGAGTTTAAGTCCAATAAAAGTTTTGGATTCGCCTTTGAGTGCCTCTTCTAACGATGACGAGTTTGCTGGCTTTAAAAATCCACTCTTGGCTACTATGGTTATTATTGTTGTTATTATTATTATCATTATTATTGTTATTATTATTACTATTATTGCATGGTGTTACTTCATCTTCCCCCCCAGAACTCAATGAATATCCTATCGCCGAACATCAACGCCATCAGTAGCAACAACAATAATAATAGCAATAATAATAATAAAAATAATAACGTGGTCCCTTTTGGCACCATTTTGAAACCAAATCAGCTACCTCTGTTTCTACCTCCGCCCAATTTCAACGCCGAATCGTATTTTAAGATGCCCCAGCCAAGGAATAATAGCCCTAGAGTCGCTGCTGATTGTGATGATAATGATGACGGTAATAATAATAATAATAACAATAATAATAGTCAAAATGGCGGGGATAAGAATGCGAGAAGGAAAAGGAAGAAATTTTATAAATGTTACAACAAGAATCAGATGGGTCATCGTAGCCATAAAACAAACGATAGTAATGATGATGATGATGATAAAGATATCATCGATGATGCTGATGATGATAATAGGAACAATGTAAGTCTAACTAACCGCGATAACATTTTTGTTGTTATCATTATTAATTTTATTATTATTTTCTGTTGTTATTGCGGGTAATTCTTTCATTTCTTAAATTAATTAAATTAAGCGCTATGTCATTATTATTTGGTCTTGTACGTCACAGGTACTGGTAGGCCCGGAGTATGACGTCCTAGCTAAAAGGAAAAATCTTAATAATAATAATCATAATAATAATAATAATAACGACACTAATAATAATAATAAAAATAATTATAAAAGCGACGCGTTGATAATTGTCGAAAGCGTGACAGCCACAAGCAGTAGCAACAATAGCAGCCAGGAAAGCACAAACTCAACATGCACCGCCTCTCACAAATCATCACCATCTCACACGGGAAACAACAACAACACAACAACAATCACAAACAACAATACAACAACAACAACGAACAACGTGACCATCACAACAACCTCCACATCAACAACTAACAACTCTTCCTCATCGTCCTCATCATCTTCATCCTCATCGCCGACCACAAACGTAAGCCCATCCACGTCATCGGAAACGGAAGAGCTGAGGCGTGGCCTACTTGTGACGTCACAATTGCGTCGCAATAAGATCAGCCAATCAGGAGCGCCGCACGGATTTCAGAGGGTTAAAATTGGATCGAGTACGTCATCCAGTACTGGTACTTTAACTGCCGGAAGTGAAAGCTTAGATAGGTTTTCCGGTCGGTAATAGTAATAGTAGTAGTAAGTAGTAGTAGTAGTAGTAGTAGTAGTAGTAGTAGTAGTAGTATATTTTCTTTAAAAATTAAAATTACGAATTTTACGTGCCAGACACCAGCAAGATGCACTCGGAATCAAGTACGTTGATTGATTACGATATGACAATTCCTAATTCGCCTTTCGATCAGCCAATCAAAAATAGCGAACCACTTGAAATCGACCAATCAAAATTTCCTATTCACATAACTATTGACCAATCCGAGACTTTGGTGAAAGCTGACCTACTTTTGAATGGTTGGCGGTGTGTTTTTTTTCATCGTTGTGCCGATAAAGATGATGTTGTTGTTGGTTTGAAAAATTCTTGATGGTGATAATTTGGTGCCTACGATGACGTAAATGGTGATAATGATTCAGTCATTATTTTGTTTTAATTATTTGTTTTAAAATTTTGACCAGACAACTTGAAGACAGTGCTCGAGAGGTACTCGCTGCAGAAATATCAAACCATTTTCGAGGAACAAGAGGTACAGTGAGAATTATTTCATCATCATTTCATGGTTTTATCATGCCATAAACTCAATTTTTCAGAAGTTTGCTTGTCTAATATACCTAATCAATATAAATAATTCATTCATTCATTACGATGCATGTGGCTTACTAAGATGAAAGAGTTCGTGAATATTCATGAATTTTTTAAATCCCGCCAACTTTTTTCCTGCTCTGCAGGTTGACATGGAGGCCTTTCTTGTTTTAACAGAAAGTAACCTCAAAGAACTTGGAATCACGTGTGAGAGAAACAGAGGACAGCTCATGTCAATCATTCGTGGTATCAACCAGTCAAAGCAGACTGACGTCTGATCGTATCACTCTTATTGTATTACTCTTATTGTATCACTTTTATTGTATCACTCTTATTGTATCACTCTGAATGATTAAAAACTACTTGTTTAAACATTCTGATAAGAAAGAGAGAGAGAGAGAAAGAGAGAGAGAGATATGAAAGAAATTAGAGATTAAATATTTTTTTTTCGATAGAAATTTATAGACAAAGTTATCCATCCTCTCAAATTCATCCATTCAATCATTCGTCCAACCATCTATTTATCTCTATTTACCTATATATCTATCTCTATCCATCTATCAATTTGTCTATCCATCCATTCATCTAGCTGTCCATTTAATATAATCTAGTAATTTAATCATTTTGTATTCACCGACAAACAAATTCACTCATGTGCACGTCATCCGTGTATGTTATTGTTTGTACGTGCATAACATACGTACGTGCGTGCATGCATGTGTGTTCATGTGCTATCAGTATCAACATATCCATCATATGACTGTTTGTTGAACATTGGAAGAATAGAGATGTACCGAATTTTCGACAAATAATCGAAAATTGCTGCCACTTTTAAAGATCGATCAGCTGAATGGCGCGATTCCCTTTTAAGTTTTTGGTTTTTCTTGGATTCTCGAACATTAATTGTTCAATATTTTGGCCATCATTGCTATTAAAATGTGTGCAAATGAACAAGGGATTGAACGTGATTTCGATGGAGAATTGCTGGGGTAGATAGGGATCGTTCTTTACTGGTTTCAATAGCTTCTTTTTCATTCATAAGGATGGAATTTTTTTCAAAATTGTACGTTTGGTGTGACAGAACTATTCGGCCTTAGGTGCATACTCAATGAAAATGCCTCTTTGTATGTGCTTCATCGCTTATTTGCTTTTAAACAACAGTATATTATCATTTATTGTTGTTGTTGTTATTATTTATTGTGGTGGATTATAAATAAAAATGCTAATTGTGCTATGATTTATATATATAGATAGCTGGAGATTTTTGTTATTTTCAAGTTTGTTTATGTATGTGTCTGTTTGTCTGTGTGTGTGTTCGCATGTATGTAGGAATGTGCGTGCGTATGTTTGTATGTGTGTATATGTATGAATGAAATAATGTATGTGTGTTCGTATCTTTTGTATATTTAAGTTTTGTTCCGGAAGTATATTTCTACATCTAAAGATGAATTCAACTCGGAAATTTTATAATAAGTTATTTGTTTGTAAAAATGAAAATATAAATCAATAAAAAATCAATGTCAATAATAGATGGAGTAAGCATCAGAGCCGTTACAATCGACAGATAGTGTTGTCTACATAAATTATATACACGCCCTCAACCTGAATGGAACCACATTGTACAGTAAATTAAAAGCAAACTAAGTGACTGAATACATACATATATACAAGGAAACACACACACAAACACACTAATACATACGCATAAAACACATATATCCATGCATACATACATAGACAGACAAAACTTTGAGAAAGTTAAAAAACACCCTAGTAAAAATGGTAGAAAACTACTGAATCTCTCCTTAGCGACCAAGGCAATAAGAACATGCACAGATGGATATATATATATATATATTATATATATGCATGCAGACGCACCAAGGTTCTTAACAATACCAAACCATCCTATCGCCAATACCGATACGAATAAATACGGCTCTACGATGTTTCATCGAGAGTGGTAGCAATACCCTTGTATTTTTTAACAGGTGGTACGCGAGGGTAACTAATATTTCATCTGTGCCAATGCATTCGGTGGTTAATTTAGAACTTGTAGAAGTACGGTTGATATCATGCTCTATACTCTCTTTCTCTCTCTCTCTCACACACTCTCACACACACACATACACACACACACTTAATACCTGAATATAGTTAGCAAACAGCCTAGGAAAGTTACTAAAATACTACTAAAACTGTTCTTAGTGGCCAGGTCGACAGCGGCGTTGCAGTAATCGTCGGTGCAGCAAGTGACGTTGTGGTTCCGGCTGGTGAAAGGTTTGCAATTATTCGAGCATGTTCTCGTGAGTCGGTATATATCCGCCGATTCGTCGGTTATTATCTGTTTGTCATATTGGATGTAAGAAGGAATGTTTTAATTTGTATTCGGTATTTATTGTATTAGTAATAATTACTATACTAACAGTACAATTTGTTTGGCATTTGGTCTTTCTTACAAGTTCTCTGTCTATTGGATCGAGACATTCATTCTCGTTAACATCACTGCTGTCATAAGCACACTGGTAGCAGTAGAAGAAGTCACGTTTGTGGCTGTCGTAGTCACGTTTGTGGCTGTCGTAGTCGCGTTTGTAGGTGTCGTAGTCGTGTTTTGGGAAGTCGTAGCTGCTGTCGTAGTCGTGAGTTTTGTAGTTGTGGTAGTCGGTGTCTTGGTCTTCGTAATGATAGCTATAATCACTACTTTTCTTAACGCGTAAATTGTTGATGTTGTCGTTGCGAGTGGTCATGGTGCTGATGCTGTTGATGTTGTTTAAGTTATTGTAGTCTGCGTATTCTACCTGTTTCACGATTTTATTTATGCGGTCGGATTCGTTGTTGATGTAAACGTAGTTGTCGTAGTCGTCGAAGTTGTTGTTGTTGTTGCTGTTGTTGTTGCTGCTGATGATGATGATTTGGCGGACAATTTTGTTGATGTTTTTGCTGTCGTTGATGTTTTTTACGGCCCTGCGACTGCGTTTTTCTGTTGAAGTTTTGTTGTTGTTGTTGTTGTTGATGTTGTTGCCGCTGATGATGTTGTTTGCTAATAAGTTATTAAGTATAAAGTCATTAAATATGTTATTAACTAGTATGGTAGACAATGTGTGCGTGTGTATGTATGTATGTGTGTGTGTGTGTGTGTGTGTGTGTGTGTGTGTGTGTGTGTGTGTGTGTGTGTGTTTGATGAAAGTTAGTGTAATTAAAAATACAGGATATACAGTAATAAGATGAGCAACAGATCAATTATATTTATTTGTCCATCTTTTCAATCGTTTGTTCTACATTTATTTATTTGGTTTTTATTTGTTCAAATTCTCTTCATTCATTCATTCATTCATTCATTCATTCATTCATTCATCCATTCATTCAATCTTTTGCTTGGACTCGTTACATCATCCATAATGTTAGCTGTGTTGGGCAGAGTGTAGGAGTTCGGTGTGTTTGTATACATCTATTTAACCTTCTAAAATGTTTTCGAGTGTGTGTGTGGGTGTATGTGTGTATATATATATATATATATATATATATATATATATATATATATATATATATATGTATATATATATATGAATGTTTGTATGGCGTGACAAAATTAAATTAATATTGCCGGTCAAACAAAGATGATTGATATGGTTGTTGATGTTTGCATGAATTATTATAATGAGGGAGCCGGTCACGAATAAATTATGTTAATTACTATAGCGTGATGATCACGTTACGCTGGATGAAGAATAGGATGGATGGGTGGATGGATGGGTGGATGGATGGGTGGATGGATGGGTGGATAGATGAATTCGTAACAAAAAGTTTATTTCGATTTATTCATAAGTAGGTATGTGTATCGATGTATTATGTTCTGTTTTATCCCTCGGTGAATGAATGAATGAATGAAAAAACGAGGGAAGAATGGATTAAATGAGTGAACAAATCTACCAGCGAATAAACGAAAGATTTATAGATTGTTAGTAGATTGGATGCGTGAATCAATCAATCTATAAACCAATGAATGAACGAGTGAGTGAATTAATGAATGAGTGAGTGAATGAATGAGTGAGTGAACGAGTAAAGAAATAAATGAGCTAATAAAAGAACGACAGAACCAATAGATAAACAAAAATGAAGAAATGAAAGGTTAAAGTCCCTTATGGATTGGATTGGCTTATAAAGCGCGCGCATTAGGCGTCATTCTAAACTAGATCCACATAATAATAATAATAATAATAATAATAATAATAATATGATGATGATAATAGTAGTAGATTGAAAAATTAACAAACTTTTATCAATGTAATTTTTGAGATGATAGGCTATTGTGACTGTTTTAACAACATTGTCGTCGCTATAATCGTCGTATTCCATTTTGTTGTTGTTGTTGATGATGTTATTGTTGATGTTGTTGTTGTTTATGTTATTGTTGTTGATGTTGTTGTTGTTTATATTGTTGTTGTCATAGATGTTGTTGTTGAAGTTATTAATACGACTGTTGTTATTGGTGTTGTTGTTGATGTTGTTGCTGATGTTGATGTTGTTGCTGATGTTGTTGTTGATGGTATATCCATCAACGAAACATAAAAAAGGCAAAACCGTTAAAATGATTATCATCGTCGTCGTCTTCGCCATCATCCTCCTCTCTTCAATGCTTACCATTATTGTTCCTATAATAATAATAATAATTATTATTATATTTTTTATAATAATTTCGTATAATAATAATAATAATTATTATTATTATTATAATAACTATTATTATTTGAAAGTACGATTACTAACAACAATAATAATTATTATTATTATTAATTATTATAGTATTATTAAGTAATATTATTTATTTATCGTTACGCACCTGTTTAGTTAAGAACGGACAGAGCAATGTTTGACAACGTGACTAAACTTAAAAATAAGCACATGGTTTAAATATCAACACGCACACACACACACACATACACATATTCACGCACACACATTCATGCACACACACACAATTCTATAGCTCTTCAAGTGCTTACATTGACAATAATTCAATTAATAAATTCACATATCATGTATGAATGTATGTGTGTATGAATTTCTTTCTTTCTTTCTCTCTGTCTCTCTACACCCCTCTCTCATTTCTTTCTCATTTCTCTCTCTCTCTCTCTCTCTCTCTCTCTCTCCTTTTCTCAGCTTTATGAATGGTGTTTATATTTAAGGATTGCTCCCCTTTGGCAATTTCAAAATTTATAAAATCGCGCTTCGTTACGTCGTCTTCATTGTTTTAAAAAAATCAAATGGACGAATGAATGAATGAATGAATGGATGAATGAATGGATGAATGAATGATTGAATGAAAAACAGATGGAGAGGTAGAGGAAGAAAAATAAGAAAGAATGAAGTGAGAGAGAGAGAGAGAGAAAGAAAGAGTTGATGAATGAATGAATGAATGTATAGATGTATACGGTTGTTACATCAGATTAATATAATAGCAACTTCAATTAATTATTTGCATTGCAATAGATAAAATAATAATTCATCATCATCATCATCACAATTCGCGAATGATCATCATTACCAGGATCCAAACCGCCATCATTTTCACCATCGTCGTAATCATCATCATCCTCTTTATGATCGTCAGCATCATACTCACCATCATCACCATCACCATTAACACCATCATCACTACCATCATCAGTGTACTATGTTAAATAACGAAAATTGTCATTAAAAATTTATGATAATAGTATAGATAGTGATCTACTATAATAAAAAAAAACACATACAGCACGTACTCACCGATAATATTTTTATAAAAATAATAATTATTATTAATATTACTGTTAATTTTAATTATTAATATTATTTTTAAAATTAATAAAAATAATTACATCAACCATAAAGTCTGATGGCCTTCATAAAAACCCGTAACAACAAGACCTCGGAGAACCACAAACAAACATCCATTCATTTTTATTATAGTTTGAACATGAAGTAATTAACATTACTCTACCAGAGTCACAACAATACAGATTGTAGGTAGCTATTATAACAACTAACACCACATAAAATTTTAATATTATCACACACACTATATATATTTGTATACAAATATGATTTAATGTGTTTATATTTGTATGTATGTATGTATATAAGCAGTATGTTTTATGTGTTGTATATGTATGTATGTATATAAGCAGTATGTTTATGTGTTGTATATATAAGTATATATGCTGTGTTTATAATATATATATATATTGATGTCACATACATATCAATATAAGTATAAATATATATATATATATATATATATATATATATATATACAGCAATCAATGCTATATCATTCAGTATATTTATCCATATGTATATGATTTTCATTATCATATATCACATATATATATATATAGTATACATATAAATATATATTTATATAATATATATATATTATATCAGTATAATATGCTATGTGCATTTTACATGTATGGTTCTTTTGTTGCCTATTTATATACATATGCATACATATTTAGATATACCATGAACTATACAAACGTATATATACACACAAACACATACATACATACATACATGTATATATACACACAAACACATACATACATGTATATATACACACAAACACACACAAATACATGCATATACACACAAACACACACAAATACATGCATATATATATACACACAAACACACACACACACACATACATACATACAAACAAACAAACAAAACTTTTTTATAAGGAGAAAGGCGGTTTAATTCAATGTGATGATATCCTTATTAAACTCCATGTATAATCAAATATCGTTGTGTGGCTGGTGTGATAAGAAGAACAAGTCTCTGTTGATAAAGACATCAAACTGACTTATTTTTTATACTAAGTTTAGTTTCTCTCTCTCTCCTCTCTCTCTCTCTCTCTCTATTTCTTTTTTATCTCCTTTCTCTTTCTCAATCTATTTGTCAGTTTATATCCATGCTATTTTGTTCTTTTATTCATTTCTTTATTCACTCTTCAGTAATTCACTCAGTCATTCATTCGTTCAATCTCCCAGTCATTCATTCATTCATTTTCATTCATTCATTTTCATTCATCCATCCATCCATTCATTCATTCATTCATTCATCCATCCATTCATTCATTCATTTATCCATCCATCCATCTATCCATCCATCCATCTATCCATCCATCCATCCATCCATCCATCCATCCATCCATCCATCTATTCATTCATTCTTCTATTTATTCGATCAAACAATCAATCGATCAGTCGTCTATTTATCTCAACACAGTTGATTTAATGCTTTTTAACTTGAAAAAGTTTGAAAAGTTTAACTAAGAATAATATCAGTAATAACGGTTGTCAAAGACAAGAGCAACACAGCTTGTTCAATCCTACTGATCGCCTGCCAGAATGTATTCAGCCAAGAAATATTTGAAGAGTAGACTTTGAAACGAGGTCAAATGACATTACGAAGGTCAAGTGAGATCGTGATGGAATTAAAACACGTCTTTTCTTCAAAACACCCAGTACTTCGTGCGCGATGTAGCACAGTTACGCAGTTCAACTAAGCAGACGATGGCTAGATGGTTTGCTAAGTCAGTAGGTAAGATAGCTAATCGGAGCGACCTCATAAGAAATGTCGTTTAAATACATTGGAGATTCTGATGATGATAATATTTTGAAGGTTAAGACTTCCATTTTGAAGATGGTTCAAGTTAAGAGGCAGGATGTTTCCGATGAAGCTTTGGAAGGAGAGTGGATGAACTATGGAGTATTATTATTATTATTATTATTATTATCAAACACTTATAAAGCGCCTATTAAAATAAATATCTTTCACAAGCGCTATCGAAAAAAGAAAAATAATAAACGAACAGTGAAATAACGTACATCCTATCAATAGACGATATGATACAATCAATTACAATCGTTCATCGCAAATAGATAAGTTTTCAAATTCTTTTTGAAATCAACAATGTTCATCTTTGACATTCTCATCGACATTGGCAGACTATTCCAGACGATTGGTCCCGACACTGCAATGTCTCTAGACGATGTACAATCTAGTTGGTACAATCAACAAATTGACGTCATCTGATCGCATGCGTCTGCCAGTCGAAGACAGCGGCTTCTTTATGAATCTATCAGCCAGGTATTCTGGGAGTTGTCCGTTTATAGCCTTGTACATAATGACGCATATTTTGTAAAAAATTCGTTTCTTCACTGTTAGCCAATGGAGGCTATTCAGAATTGGCGTCACATGATCGTATTTATGTATGTATGTATGTATGCATCAATCAATCAATCAATCAATCAATCAATCAATCAATTAGCTTATAAAGCGCTATTTCCGCGATGTTCAACAGCGCTCCTCAATGAATTTTGAAAACAGATGGGTCTTGAGATCCGCTCTGAACTTCGCAAGTGATGGAGAAATAGTTAGAGAAGTAGGTAGAGAGTTCCAGAGAAAAGGACCAGAAAAAGCAAAAGCAGATTTGGCAAAAGAGTGTTTAACACGAGTTAAGAAAAAGCGAGAAGAAGACGATCGTAAACCGGGGCGTTTAGGGTCAATTAATATATCTGATAAGTACTTAGGAAATAATTTAGATTGAGACTTATACATGAACATGCAAATTTTAAAAGTTATTCTATATTTTATAGGTAGCCAGTGCAAGAGAACAAGATATGGAGATATATGAGAAAAGAAAGGGGCACGAGCAACTAGACGAGCAGCAGAGTTAAAAGCTTTACTTAAAGGATAGAGTATAGAGTCAGGAAGACCATAGTAGAGCGAGTTACAATAATCAATCCTAGATAAGACTAACGAAGTAACAAGAAGGAGAAGAGTAGGATCATCAAGAAAAGGCAAAAGTTTTTTTATTCTACGTAGATGAAAGTAAGAACTTCTAGCAACACTATTAATCTGAGAAGAGAGAGACATAGTAGAATCAAAGATAAAACCTAGACTGCGAAACTTATGAGAGACATCAAGAGTTTTAGAATCAGGTAAGATAATAGGAGGAATAGTAATTGAGTGTTTAGATTTATTAAAACAAATTAATTCAAACTTAGAAGGATTAAGTTTAAGACACATAGAATCAGACCAAGCGATAATCGAAGAAAGACATAGAGATAAATTATGAAAAACACTATTGAGATTAGATGGAGGAAAAGAAGTATAAATATAAGAATCATCAGCATATAGTTGACTAGAGAAAGAAAAGTTATTAATAATACGAGGTAGTTCAGAAGTATGCATGTATGTATGTGTGTATGTATGTATGTATGTATGTATATATGTATGTATGTATGAACCCATTTTGATGAACAAGCCATGGTTAGGCATGCAATCGTTTCCGAGTTCGACTTTTATCTATGTCCCTGGTCTCGCACAGTCAGGTATCTGGCAGCTCCATCCAGAATGCAAAAGGAATTAAATTTTTGTAATAAAAGTGAAAGAGTTTGCTTTAAATAATTGCCTTCGTTAGGATCACCCGTTATATTAACTATTTTTCTTGTTAATTCGTTAATAAATAATGATGTGTGCATATCTGTTGGTCCGAACGTTTCAATGCAAATGGGTTGAAATATTTTGCTTAAATGGTTTAATGAAACGTATTTTTCATTTTTGAAATCGGACGCTTTAAGGGCAGCAGTGCCCGCCTCAACTGAAGTGTAGCCGATATATCGGTCAGCCATAGTGTGGGGTAAGGTAACGTCCCAAGCCAGGAACCGTCCCTGAGCCCATGGGGTGATAGTGTAACCATCAGGCCTAAAGGCTCCTTCCTCTATCAAACCCATGGGTTCTTTTATAATCAATCAATCAATCAATTAGCTTATAAAGCGCTATTTCCGCGATGTTCAACAGCGCTCCTCAATGAATTTTGAAAACAGATGGGTCTTGAGATCCGCTCTGAACTTCGCAAGTGATGGAGAAGTAGTTAGAGAAGTAGGTAGAGAGTTCCAGAGAAAAGGACCAGAAAAAGCAAAAGCAGATTTGGCAAAAGAGTGTTTAACACGAGTTAAGAAAAATACATACATGTATGTATTTTGTATACATACATGTATTGAAAATACATGTATGTATGTATGTATGTATGTATGTATGTATGTATGTATATATGTATGTATGTATGTATGTATGTATGTATGTATGTATGTATGTATGTATGTATGTATGTATGTATGTATGTATGTATGTATGTATGTATGTATGTATGTATGTATGTATGCATGCATGTATGTATGTATGTATTTATGTATGTATGTAGTTTCTCCAAAGACGTGCGTGCTGGCATGGGCCTGGGGCTTTGTATCATAGAGAAGAGAATTTTATTTTTATTACTATCTATATTAATAATATTTATATTATTATTAATAATATTATTATTATTGTTAAAAATATTATTGTTATTGTTAAGAAGAAAAGTCAGATCCGCTTATAGCCGTATTAAGTTAATTACTTATATAACAAGAGTAATTTATTCTTTTTTAATAACTATTAATAATAATAATATTATTAATAGTAGTAGTAGAATGTATGTGTGTGTATATGCATGTATGCATACATGTATGTGTGTGTATGTATGTATGTAGGTATGAAATTTTTCAGATTAGTCAGAGTGGTCTGGTTTCGAACACGGTCACTGAGTAATAAGTAGCGTTTTACCGATTTTACTTTACCTACTGCGTGTTTAATTTTGATTTCATTTCATGGTTTTTGATGAATGGTAATATGGCTGATCTGATTGATTGACTAATTGATTGATGGATTGATTGATTGATTGATTGACTGATTGATTGATTGATTGACTGATTAATTGATTGATTGATTGACTGATTAAATGATTGATTGATTAACTGATTGATTGACCAAACAATCAATTGAGAAATTGATTGCTTGCGTTATTTGATTGATAGATCAGTTTAGTAACTGGTTAATCATCCTTATCTTCACTGTTACCAACAAAATCATAATCAACAATATCATCTTCATCCTCGTCTATCATCATCATTAAACGCATTTTAAGCGTAAAAAAAATACATTAGCGTGGATAATTGATTGTTTGCAGAAAGTTAGGCGCTATGGTATTATTTAAATTACAAATTTAAATTCACACTTCACCACACAATTATATATAAATAGGAAAAAATTTCCTAGAACAAACGATCGTTTTTTGGACTAGAGTCGCGGTTGTACGTATAAAATGGCGATATATGGTAGAATTATTATTCGCCATATATTGATTGTTAAATATTATTAAACAACATTTGTAACATTTTCTCGCTTTTCTACTTCTAAAAATTAAAGTTAAAAAATGCAAGATTTTTTTTTTCATTTTAAATTTTGTTTTTGTTTCATCTTACTTTGTCTGATTCATTGATGAATGATTAACTAACTTGGTTAACTAACTAATTAACTAACCAGCTTACTGTATGATTAGTGAATATGCTGGTCGTTGATGTTCACGCCTTGTAGAATTATAATTTATAGAGTGATCTAGATCTCTAGTATAAAATGAAACAGATAGTGTGATTATCAAATAAAATGTATACAATGTTAATTTGTTAAGAAGATCACTGAAAGATTAAATATTTAAATTGAAAAAAAAATATTTCCAGGTTTTTTATCATAAAAATTTGTCTACAGGAACTGGATAAATAATTATTTAATTAAATAAATATAATGATAAACATTTTATTTTATAGAATGTATTTTCTTGCCTCATGTCAATAATAAATAAAGGTTTGCTTTGATTTTATTTTTAAATTTTAAACCATTTAAAATAGATAGTTTTTTTTAAATTTTATGTTCATTTCATACAATCAATGTTGTTAGCACTAAGAGTGATAAATTGATTTTCATCTTTAAAGTGCTAATTTTAATAAGAGAATAATAATGCTATTAAAATGTAAATTACAAACCAGATGTCTGATAAAGAAGATCAAGAGGATGAAAATAACCCAAAGCCCCAGGATATCTCCAACAAAACGGAACTACCTAAAGATGACACATTTCAGTCAATAGTTGAGGCCTCCACGGATCCAACAGTCAGTCCAACCTCAACTTTAAGTGCAGAAGAACTCATCAGTGCATCAGCACCCGTTGATATTCCAGTTTTTATCAAGTCAGATTCAATTGGTTAGGTGCTATTATACTTTCAAAAAAATAATTCAAAATAGATTTTTTAAATTTTGTGAAAAAATGTTTGATTCCAGGACACAGACCTCATGGCAATACATCACCTCCAGTCCATGCAACATTAGATGAGTTTAATGGCAACACACCTTTTGGTTCATTTGCAATGACACAGAGTCTAAGAAGTGATCCAGATGTCGCCCTGCACGCCCCCAGAGCTGTCCAAAGGGCAATAAGTACCAGCCCCAGAATGGAACATAATCCGCAATTACAATCCGATGAAGATAGACTATCCGGTGTTGAAGACCCCTTCTTTCCATTTCTTAATCCGGATTTAGGGTTAGATATGATCAATTCAGAGAATGAAATATCTCACCAGGATAGATTAAATCAGGAAAATGATTCAAACAGCATGATAAACATCGGGCATAATGAGAGAGGCAGCAAGAAAACTCGATGGATGATCAACAAAGGTTTATCAGAGGCAGATATAGGGCCACACAAAGGAAACAACCACAACTCTTCAAAAGGCAAAATGAGTGCTGCATTTAGCACAGTGGAGGTACTTTCAAATAAGAATCAAATGGAGAAGAGAAATGAAGGTATGGGTACCAAATCTATGACCAGACATCTGTCTAGACTCGGTTCAAAAGGATTGAGAAGGAAGAGTTCCATAACTTCTAATTTATCTTTTATGGGAAATTATGTTCTAGGCTCTAATCTGTTTCAATCACCCGCTCGAAGTAACGTCAGTATGGCATCAGATAAGATCAACATCGTCACAGATTCATTTGGGGTGTACCCAAGTATATTGAGTTTGACATCGGTTGGTGTGGGCGTCCTTCCTTTTGAAGATGAGCTGGTAGTCCCTCTGTCGACCTCCCACCCAAGGTCGGTGTCAGCGTACAGCAGCAGGCAGAACTCCGGCATTGATTTAGAGAAAGAGGGTGCAGACAGAAAGAAGGCCTACATAAGAAGCATTTCCAACGTCTCAAAAGGTTCTGTAAGCTCTCTAACAGGCAAAATTCTGCGAGAGGATGACAAAACTTCTCTAAGAGATGATGAGGAGTCGGATAAGATAACAGAAGTGAAATCCATCATGAGACCTCAACCTCCCAAGAAGCAGTGGCAACAAACCATGCCCGACCTCGTTGAAGGCCCTGAAAGTGAAACACTCACAGTTCAGAGCACAGTCAGAAAACATTTGGCAGCCGCTGCTCTGGCTATTGCGATGAAAAAACCGACGTACAAAACATCAGATGAGGAGAGGGGCGATGAAGAGAGAGAGGAAGAGGAAGTAGAAATAATAACTCCCAGGGTTTATAAAAAAAATTTATACGTCATATGCGCCATTTTTTTCTTCTCGTTTGCCTCGTACATGTCACTTAGAAACCTTCAGAGCAGTTTGAATGATGCGGGTGGCCTGGGCATGCTGTCACTCAGTTGTATATACGCATTCCTCTTCATCGGCTCCATCTTCACCACCACCATCGTTCAGAGATTGCGCCCCAAATTCTCAATGTTGGCCAGTCTTCTTGGGCTCCTTCTTTACAACATCTCAAATTTTTACCCCAGTTACGCCACCTTAATCCCTGGGGCATGTATCGCGGGTTTCAGCCTGGCCACTATCTGGACAGCCCAGGCAACCTACATGGCCAACAACGCATCTTCGTATGCTCAGCTAACTAATCAGAGGTTTCAAGATGTTTTGAGTAATTTTCACGGGATATTTTTCGGGTTTTTCCAAGTTTCTCAGATGGTGGGAGGAGTTATATCATCGATAATATTCTCTCTAAATAAACCCGAATCTAAATCGAACGCTGACGATGATGGTGGTCTTCTTAATGGTACCTCCCATCAAAATGGCAGCCGTCTAACTGATGATAACTATTATTTCAGCTATGACAATCAGCTCTTGAATATAACAAAAAATTTTACTAAAGCCAGACGACACGTGAATACAAAACTGCACGATGAGGTTGGTGATTCAACGTACAACATATCCTTTGTATCTGTCTTGGACAGTTTGAAGAGCACAATTAATTATCAATCATCTACAGCCTACTATCATGTTAGCTATCAATCATTTGTCCATCTTTTAAAATAATTAACTGGTATTTATTGGAATATTTTGTTAATTTTATTTTAAATCAAAGCACATTGGGTTTATTCTTCAGATGAATAGTACGTTTGGCATGGCGTCTGGCGATGGCAGTTACGCGCGACAGGAAGGTATCAATATGTCCATCAGTGACCAAAAATCACATATTTGCGGTAAGTTGTTTATACATATGCATGCATGCATAAACTCCATCCTTGAAAATTACAACATCATTAAATATTTTTCTCTAGTATTGTGATCATCTACTGCCTAAAGTTCACCTAATGTTCTTATTAATACGATCCTAATTAAATTACTAACCTATGCTAATTAACATAACCAGGGATGTACAACTGCCCTGGGAAAGGGGCTTCAAGTTTCCAGGTTCAGTTCGACCCTGCGATGTACTACATGATGGTTGCTGTCTTTCTCTCTAGCATGATATGCAGCATTCTCATTTTGCTATTCTGTCTGGACCCACTGGAGGGTGCCCTAAGGAACCCGAGGGCCGGAATATCCATCCAGTTGTTTTCCGTCTTCAAGATGCTGACCAACCCGCACATACTCTGCATACTGCCTCTCATGTCCTACACACTGCTGCAGACGACCTTCATCTTTGGGGAATTCAATAAGGTTATTATCGCGGCTGTTGCTATCACCATCGTTAAAAGTTAGTAAAGGTCAGAGATCACTCTCTTCGGCACTTGCTTCAGAGGTATGAATGGCAAACACACGTAGCGCGTATGTGTACGCACGCATGCATTCTGCTGATTCAGCTACTGCAACATCAGAGGCAGGCTCTTTCAATCATTAGTCCACCAAGCCGTCTGAGTTTCTGTTATTCATTAAACCCATTTAAGATCTTAATTCTTCTAAGTATGTCGTTGAATTAAGAAAAAATAAATTTTTTTATTAGTGATATTTTATCCATAATTTTTATAAAAACAGTAATTAAATAGGATTTTTCTTTTTATCAAAATAATCATTACATTTATCAGTAAGTGGTTAATTAGGACGACTACATTCTAGGCAGATAATGATAAAATTAACAACCCAAGTGCGTAAGCTATGTATGTAATTATTTATCACAAGACCCTCTCTATGGTGTAAACATGTTTGTTTGTTTGTTCGTTTGTTTGTTTGTTTGTTTCTGTGTTTGTGTGCCTGTGATAATGATAAATAATGAAGATAATAGTTATAAGGAGGACAGTAAAAAAATATTTATTAGTATGTACTTAATCATTTCACACGAATGCACCCGCGTATGCTGAATGACAACAAAATCTTATTATTTTTATTATTCAAAAGTAGTAGTAATAGTAGTAGTAGTAGTAGTAGTAGTAGTAGTAGTAGTAGTAGTAGTAGTAGTAGTAGTAGTAGAAGCAGCGGCAGTAGTATTTTTTCATTACAACAATCCTAATCCTTTTTCGTGGTTTCTATTGTTATCATCATTGTCAGTTTCACCTCTGCAATCAGTATCATAGTCATTTATATCATTACTACTATCATCATCGTCGTCGTCGTCGTCATCATCATCAGTGCTATCTTCATTCGAGTTCATCCCTGCGTGCACTCTACACCACCACCTATGTGTGATCAGCTGAGTTTGTGCTACTCATCATCATCATCGTCGTCGTTGTTGTTGTTGTTGTCGTCATCACTATATTGCCCCTATTATTTTAATTTTTATTATCGTTTACATCCATTATTGTAGACTGTGTTGAATAAAACACTACATTTTCTCTCTCTCTCCCTCTTTCTCTCTCTCTCTCTCTCTCTCGTTATCCTATTCACATACGTACGTACACAGATATTCGCGC